CCAGGCGCCCGCGCAGTCGCCCGGGTGAGGACCGAGGCCCCGCCTAGAGGGCGGGGGACTGGGGAGGCGGCCGGCTTTAAATGGGGGCTGTCCGGCGGCTCGGGAGCAGTCTGCCGCGGGGGGAGCGCCACCTCCCTTCGCCGCGCGGAGGACCGGCTGGGGCGGCCCCCAGGCAAGGTGGCTGGAGGCGCGGGAGGGCTGGGGCGCGAGTTGGAGAGCTGGGGGGAGGCGCACTCTCCGGGGCGGGAGGCTGGGGCTCGGGAGAGCGCGCCAGGGGAAACGGGGTGCGCACGGGGGTGCCTATGTTGCAGTGTGCGCAGTGAGGGCCGGCGGGGCGAGGAGGGTGCCCGCAGCGTGCTGTGCATGCAGGGTCAGCGGCGTGCCCGCGGGCGCCGGGGGGTGCGCACGGCTCTTTCTGTGGATGTGCACTCGGGGGGAGCGGTGCCTGCCCGGTTTGAAGTATTTCAACTGTGGGAGTGAGCAGCGCATGGCCGTTTCTGGGGTGCTGCTCCGGGCGCTGTCGTGTGCTTAGTTGTTTCTGGAAGTGTGCATCGGGCCGAGGTATGCAAGCAGGATTCTGGGGAGGCGCACGGGGGCCACGGGATTCACGCAGGGCTCCGGGGGGTAGGCACCAGGATAGGGTGTGAGTTCTGGGATGCCCGCTTCTGCGAGTGTGCACGAAGGGTCATCGAAAGTGCGAACTAGAGCGCAGGGGCCAAGCTTGATTTACGAGGGTGCCCCAGGGTGCTGGGCGTGCCTGCCCAGGCCGGACTGTGTTGGGGTGAGCGACCGCGATGGGGCCCGCGCGACGCCCGCCTGACCCAAGCTCTGCTCCCCCGACAGTTCGCCCCGAGAGCCGGTTGCCGCGGGCCGAGATGCTCCTCCGGGACCTGGTGCTGCGCCGCGGCTGCTGCTGGCCCTCGCTGCTGCTGCACTGCGCGCTCCACCCGCTCTGGGGCTTCGTACAGGTGAGCAGGGGCCGCAGGGGCCTGGAGACCTCCAGGGCAAGACCGGTGGCGGTGGGGTGTCACTTTACTCCCCGACCCCAGCTTTCTGCAGCCGCCCTTCTGATTGGTCCTGGGGAGAGTTTAGATAAAGAAAAGATGCTAGGGGCCTCCCCATGCTCAGGAACTCCATGGGGAGGCTTCAGTTGTGGCCGGAGACCTGCAGGACAGGGCCTTGGACAGGAAGGGCTTAGGCAATGGCTTCTTAATGCAGAAATGTCAGAAAAAGTAACCCTAGAGCTTTTGCACACTTAAAAACAAAAATGATCCCAAGGATATCCATTTTTTTTATTTCCAACTGGCAAACTTCAAATTAGTCTCCTGAAGCTGGACTTCAACACAGGAGAGGCTGCGTTTCTTATAGGGAGTGGAGCTGTGGACGTGGATGGATCGTACAGGGTGGCCCTCGTGGAGAATGTAAGGAAAAACTGTCCGTCTGTAAGGATTGCCTGAGGATGGAGTCCTCACCCTGGGTCCCCTGGCCCCCAGGGCAGAGGCCAGGCGGCCACCAGCTGGAGTTACCTCTGTTAGGGTCAGAGACAGGGTTAGATGGGATGGTCCCCTAGTACCTCCCAGAATGTACGAGGTCCGTGGTACAGTAGAGTGGAGAAGAGGTGGGCTTTGCTGTCAGCTCTGAATTTTGAGCCCCAGCCCTGCCCCTCACCAGCTGGGCAACTTTAGATGGGGCACTTAACCTGTCTGATCTTCGGTTTCTTCTTCCTGACTGTGCTGTTACAAGTACTTGATGAGATAAAGCAAGTAAATACTACTTAGGGCAGTGCCCAGACCTCAATAAACACGCAACTCTAGCTGTTGACATTAGCAATAGCGATGCTGCCCTTCTTTCTGGCTGGCCAGGTACTCTGTTGATCACTGTCACCTGTTTGACCTTTTTGAGTTGTTAGTGGTTCAGCAGGTGCTGGAGGATGTTTTTATTGTTTGGGGGGCATTGAAATACCCCACTCTGGGTATTCGCAGCCTCTCATTCTCCAGGTGGCATTTGGGGGGTTGGGGATAATTCAGATGGTTGTCTGAGTAGGGGCGATAGTCCAAAGAAGAAGGGGTGGGCGAGACTGCTTTCCAATCTGCTGTGGTCCATGAGCTGTCCCAAGTTATGGGGCCCTGCTGGGACCAGCTCAGTCAGTCCTGCTTGGATGGTGGCCCAGCGACCACTGGGAGAGGACCAGGGGCTCTGAAGCTGGACCCAGCATGCTGGCTGTGTGGGTGGGTCCACCAGGGTCCACCTCCACCGCAGCACCAGGCCCGTGTTCTGCGCTTGTCTCTGGCTTGCTCGGCCTCGCTCACAGTTGTTTCCCTTTCGGAAGTGGAGCTTTGTTTAATGTGTGAAGCAGCAGTTATTAAACTCAGCTCTGCCTCCTCAGGATGCGGGATTTTGTCACTTTTAAACACTCGGGCAGTTGGGGACCAGCTTTCCTTGTTCAACTTTTAGTTGAACCTCAGATGTTAAGTTCACTTAGTTTTTATACTTGTTTGCTTACAGTTTTCTAGAAGATTTTTCAGCTTGTGTGGAGAGTTACACAGTGATGTTGTCTGTCTCCCAGACTAGAATTCTGTCGGGTAGAAACAGAAGACCCCCCCCCCC